AACCCCCCATTTTTGCATTTTAAATATACTCTTATGGAAGCTTCTCAATTTCGATTATATTTGAAAGTTATTTGGTACAACTTGCAGCCATGTATACTACATGAGCGGGGATGCATGGAAGGAAGGAGGGATTGATGCTACAGGTAAACACTGTCTCGATCTTCGTCCTTGCCTATTTTCTGTTAAATGCAATAATGTATAGGTATCATGCTCTTGACCCTCTTTCATTGATGTGCTCAATCCATATATTTAGATACAAACCAGCAAATGCTTTCTGAATCAACAGGAAATTTACCTCTTAAGACAACCAAAGTAAATTTATGGCTCAATCACTACACTCACCCTCCAGTTCTTAGAAATAAAGTCGACCTTCTATGAAACATCTGAATACTTCTCATATCAAATATTCAATTTGGACGATGTCAACATTTGTGATGTTTGATGGAAATTATCTCAGTTAATAAGAGGGGAAACTAATTGGAAACAGAATTACAAATCCTTAAAAACTACACAAATCACATAGAAGAATGCAGGTTCAGCCAAACATTGCGGTGAAACCCCTTATGTTATGAGGCCAGGACTTTGGTTGGTTTCATCATCAAAACAATCGGTGACTGTCATTTAGTGGCAAGACGATGGACACATATTAGGAGTGGCAATGAGCTGCTTTGTTGCAGATCAGATGAAAAAAATTAGATCATCCTAGGAGCAATTTGTGATATGATTTTTTTATACATTTGGTTTTACTGGTAGACTACTCAGAGTTACAAAGTTCACTTCTCGTGTTTCTAGATTTTTAGCTAATCCAAAATTTATGTTATTTTCTTGTCCAAATTTTCAGGAGCTTTAATGGTGATAACACTGAAAATAATTTCATGTGTGATTAATTACCAAGATGGATTGTTGAAGGAGGAAGATTTGCGTGAGGCTCAGAAGAAAAATTGTTTGCTCAAGTTGCCATCATTATTTGAGTACATTGGTTACTGTCTCTGTTGTGGAAGTCATTTTGCAGGTCCAGTGTATGAGATGAAAGATTACCTTGACTGGACAGAGAGAAAAGGAGTAAGTTAATATCATCATTGTATTGTTTCCTGCATGTTGAATTTCGTTGCAACTACTTCATCAAAAAAAGTCCCACTGCAGCTAATAAACTCAATCCTTACTCCTTTCAGATCTGGAAACCTTCAGAGAAAGGAAATCCCTCACCTTTGGGGTCAACTTTAAGAGCTCTTCTTCAAGCTGCTATTTGTATGGGGTTGTATCTCTACCTGGTGCCTCTTTTTCCACTTTCCAGGTTCACTGATCCATTATACCAAGAATGGGGTTTCTTCAAACGGTTGGGTTACCAATATATGGCTTGCTTTACCGCTCGGTGGAAATATTATTTTATCTGGTCAATCTCTGAAGCTGCTATCGTCGTATCCGGACTAGGTTTCAGTGGTTGGACAAACTCTTCTCCACCAAAACCACTTTGGGACCGTGCAAAAAATGTTGATGTATTGGGTGTTGAGTTAGCAAAGAGCTCGGTTCAGTTACCACTTGTATGGAACATTCAAGTCAGCACGTGGCTGCGACACTGTAAGTGAATCTCTCTTCTAGTCATTTGCAAGCCAATCACATGCTTCAGTTTTGTAAAGCTGTTAGACTAGTAGAACCATTTTGTCTACTGGTAAGAATGTAAATACTTGTGATGATGTTCTGTAGCTACATTCTATTAACCATCATAATAGATATTGATGCAGGCAAGTTATTCATTTCTATTGTGAGTAAACTTAGCTTTATTTTGAGACAAATTATTCACCGTGCATCATACATCTTCTAGATGACTCTTTTATCGTGGTAAACATAGAATTTTGATAGTTTATCCTGATATACTTTAAATTATTGGTAGTATAGTAGTTTTGAGGCAATAGTGCATGCAGCTAGTATGCGTTCACTTTTTAACGTCATGTGTATACAATCTGATCTCTATTCACTTTACATTTTTGCTCTGCAGATGTATACGAGAGGCTGATACAGAAAGGAAGGAAGCCTGGTTTCTTCCAGTTGCTAGCTACCCAGACTGTCAGTGCTGTATGGCATGTAAGTGGATACTTAAGCACCGGATAGGCATGCAAATTAACATATTGTATTGTGAAATATATATCATAATATACACGTAATCTTTTATTGATGTATTTTCTTTTAACTGTATTATACTTGCACAAATAGTTGATTATGTCTATTGAGGCGTGATAATCTGCTAGGAAAGTGTTCTACAGCTAGTTTTATTATTTAAGAATTACTTCTTGTTCTGATAGTCAACTGATATTTGCTTGACGTTTGCAATAGTAAAATTTGAGCTTAGCTATACTGTATGTTGTAATCATTTGGGTGGTTATTCCTGCCACCGAAAAAGTGGCTTATCAACTATGTAAGTGTATTATTTTGCTGCATTGTTCCTTTCTGGGTACTAAAGCTGAGGGTCTATCGAAAATATCCTCTCTACCTTCATAAGGTAGAGGTAAGGTTGCGTACACCCCACTTGTGGGATTCCGCTGGGTTTGTTGTTGTTCCTATCTGGTTACTATTGGTGGAAAGACATCTTGTGGACTTAGTTGTTCCCCTTATGTACCCATAAATTTCTGTACAGTCTTACCCTTACATACAGGATATCCATTCTTGCGCATGCCATAATATCCAGCTGGGATAACAGGAACAATTGGTTTCCTGTGAAACATTTTAGTGGGCTAGTGGATTATCCTTGTGTGTCTGTTGAGAATCTTTCTCTACATCTGTTTGATGGTTATAAGAAACCCGTACAGTTTATAAGTCATGGTATAGGTCCTACTTAAAACCCATCAGAGTTGAACCATAGTGTTCCTTTCACAACTTCTTGTCCAATTGGTTGAGCATTCTGATAGCCTTTATTGAATTTCTATAATTTCCTTTGTTTAAGTAATCTTGTGAACGTCCATCTACTTTATATGTTTTGTAGTCTTTTCACCTCCACTTTAGTATTCATCTGCCATTTTTTGGTGTCTCAAAATAGTTGTTGTCTTTCTTAAAAAAGGACATTTCTGATAATTCCCAGATGAGATACAAGCTCTGCGTTTTATCTTTTGCTGCCATTCATATATTTTACATAAAAACCTATTGATCTAGACTGGAGTATACACATCTTCCTAAGCAATTTGCACTTTTTAATTCTTGAACACCTTTGCATATTTGCCGGCTGCCGCTTCCCAATTTTAAGAGAAAGGAGCTCCCATACTTTTATGCTTGTCAAAACCTGTTTTTTAGTTATTAAACTTTAAGTAATCTCAAAAAGTAAGCTATGGAACCCTTTCTTTCTTCTCTTTTGTTGTTTGTAATTTTTTTAATTTACAACTTGCGCACCTCGACTAATCCACTGTGGCCTGCTACTTCAGAACCCTTTTTCTTATACACCATGCTAATTGATTGACATTTTGAATTCTCATGTTAATTCAAAGGTTAACTTGAAATTGGATAAAATACTTTATGCTCTTCTGAAGTGTTTTCTTTGTCATTGCACCCTCTGCTTGTCGTCCGTTATTGTGTGGCTGTCTACCTAATGGTATAATTTTCTGTGTTACATTACAGGGATTATATCCTGGGTACATCATTTTCTTTGTACAGTCCGCTTTGATGATTGCTGGATCAAGAGGTATTTAACTTGCACACACACCCGATCAGATGCATTTAACTTTGGTTTACTTTTCCTAATGTTGTTTTGTCTATGAGCAGTCATTTACAGATGGCAGCAAGCTGCTACTGGTACTCTGTTTGAGAAGATACTGGTATTAATGAACTTTGCATACACACTTCTGGTTCTAAACTATTCCGCTGTTGGGTTCATGGTTAGTCTCATATTTTTTGGAATGATGTTTACTCTAAAGCTAATTGTGTTCGACAGAGGCTGATCATAGTGTTCTTTCATGTGTTACAGGTATTAAGCCTGCATGAAACCCTTACAGCATATGGAAGTGTATACTATGTTGGAACAATTGTACCAGTTGTACTCATCCTGCTTAGTAAAGTAGTTAAGCCTCCAAAACCTGCAACATCTAAAGCTAGGAAAGTAGAGTGAGTCCGAGCCAGTTTCTTGAGATATTTGCTTAGATTTCATTTTGACTATGTACTCTGTTCTGATAGCTGGACAGCTCTTAATTTGAGCAGAACAGGAGAAGTAGCATTATTCCTCCAAATACCTGGCCACTAAAAGTTATGTATCCAACTGTATAGTTATTGGGGAAATCTTGGCCACAAGAATCGATAAATGATTGTTTTTGCTACTATCTAATCAAGTTCTGTTCTTGCATTCAATGTTCATAACCACTTTCTTCTGTGTTGGTTGTGTGCCTTTCCCGGGAGAGTGTTCATATGAAACAACAAAGCTACTATTTATCCCAAAAGAAAAAGAAAAAGAAACAACATACTCTTTGCCCCTGTTCCCCTTTCTTGCAGCAGAAGGTGTGGGGTTGAAGCAGTGGGGAAATATACAGAAAAGTAATGCTATGATACCTCTTTTCTCCTGTGATGTTTCTTTCAAAGTGTGATATCTCCTATCTAGGTGACTGGAAAAACAAGCTTGGGAAAGCTTTTATGCTTATGTTTAGTGTAAATCTGTAGGATACCTAAAGCTGTTGATTTCAGGATTAGTTGGATGACATTCTACAACCGTTGATTTGAATTTTCATGCTGAAATGTTTTAACAATTGCTTCGATGTTATTCACATTTTTGGTAGAGATAATTGCTTGCTGTTTTCTTTTGGGACTTTAGATTCAAGCACTGCTTGCAGCCTGCAGGCTTTGTAGTATTGAATCTTCCACAATTGTCTAATAGAGTGTGGAAAGGAGAAGTAGAAATATTAGTTTAACAAAGGAGAGGAAAGCTGATGCAAATCCTATGCTCCAGTTAGCACTGAAATCTAGTGATTCAAAATGCAGCCTCCCTTTGGTTTCTACATTACTTATCTTGCAATCTGCTTAGTCATTTTACATTCTAGTATGGTTGAGCCGTTGAGGTGGAATGGCAATTAGTACCATTATAACATAGAAGTTAGTGAAGGGGAGCCTTGGCGTTACCGGTAAAGTTGTTGCCATGCGACCAGGAGGTCACGGGTTCGAGCCGTGGAAACGTCTTGCAGAAATGCAGGGTAAGACTGCTTACAATAGACCCTTGTAGTCCGGCCCTTTCCCGGACACAGCGCATAGCGGGAGCTTAGTGCACCGGGCTGCCCTATACCATAGAAGTTAGTACTCTAGTAAACTTATTCTTTTGTTGACTTCAGATCTCTTGTTGCTATTCAAAACTCTAGTAATTCATCAACTTTGACATATTTCATGAAGTACTTCATCTCTTTCAATACCATTGATGAGTGGAACATTGTAGGACCTTAAGCTCCAGTTAGTTGCTTGAGCTGTGTTTTTTTAATAATGTTTTTAGGCAGCTGGATTCTTGACTTTGTGGCCATTTCTTTTTTGATGAAATGCCAGAAAGGCATGTTATCCTGGACCACCCTTAAACAGCTTGTGAGTTGTGTGAGTGAAACTATAAAGATTAAATACTAAAGCTTCTGATAATGCATGCATTTTCTCCTCTATTTGTTACTCCATATGCTACTGTAGAGATATGAACTGGCTTTAGCCCCACTTTTCTTTGATAATGCTTTTTGAAAACATGGACTGCTTGTTCAAGGATAAGGCTGAAAAGGCCTAAACAGTGATTTTTCTCTTTTATGTATTCTACTCCTGGAATTATTTTGCCCTTGGATTAGGCATGTCACTCTTATGCCACCACTTTGTAGCCCCCACTTCATTATGTTTATGCCTATAGGCCCATCCAAACTGTAGATTTTGATCACACCCTCAAAGATAGCCATTCTTATACATTGTTCTATAGTAACATCAACTTTGTTTCTACTGTCGAGGGGCGTGTAATGGGATGGTTGAAGTCTCTTTACCATTGATCAAAGTTTACGGTCTGAGTCTTGAGAATGGAGAACTTTTAAGCTATGTTGCTCGGATTCTTGGAAAATGTTGTCGGGTGCGTGTCGACTCTCCAAAAGCAGTGTATTTTTGGAGAATCCGATATTGGTGTGGCTGTATTTTGGAGAGCCCGTGCAACATAACTTTTAAGTACGGATCCATTCACCCCTTTATTGGGTCTACCTGACACAAATCCTGTGTTAGTCGGGCTAGTAGAATTAGGATACCGAATGGTTAAACAAGGAAATAAAGTTGTCATACAATATACACTGTTTAATCTGCTAAGTTACTTTTCTCAATGCATTCGATGGAGCTGGAGGAATGACATGACTAGCATACAGGTAGATTGTTACACGCTAGTTCATGCTTTTACAGGAATACAATTATAGTTGACAAAAGACATGTCATAATATGGTTGTTTTTAACTTATTATTGAACCAATGAACCAAAAGCTGCTTGCCATCTGGGGAAGAAACAAGACATTTATGTAGGTTCCAGGGAGATAGGTACTTTACCAAGTAGTTCACTTGCTATGTTTTCTGTTGGATAGCCGTGGTGTCCGGGCTGGCTTGTCTTGCGCGTACCTCGACTAATTCCACGGGATACTTGTCACCTCCCACCAGCAACAGGTACCAAGTAACTCTATCTACCAAGATTTGGATAGATAGGAAGAAATCACCTAGTATTTTTTGTCTCTGCTGGGATTTGAACCCGAGACCTCATGATTCTCACTCACTTCATTAACTACTAGGCCAGACCCTTCGGTGCAATTCACTTGCTAATGTTTTGCTGGACAAACAAAATGATGTATGCCCTTCAGAACTGACTACTAACAAACTGGATGGGCAATATAGCTCATTGGATGCAGATTTTTCCAAGGACTATCTGACCCAAAGAAAGCTGGCCATTTTTGTTTTTGAAGGGGACATTCTGGCTAGCAGCACATTCTGCCAATGCAGCCAATTCATGGACCCCTTGTTCTTCTTTATCTTTTTTCCATTTGTTTTCTTCTGTATTTCGTTTTTTTCTTGTGCTTAATTTTGGGTCCTCAATTATTTTTATGCTAGTGATTCTCTTCTGAATAGCTCTACATGTGATGTTATGAACATATAAGCATGTAATTTAATAAATTAGAACATGAGTAGGGCCTCTTTCTTGTTGATAAGTTCGCCTCCACTCTACTAAAATGTTAGGATTTATACGACGTTTTTTTAGGAGAGCTGCCTATGTACTCTCTTTTGAGTAACCCTCCNCCACTAAAAAAAGAAAGAAAGAAAGTATTAAGAGCTTTTTTACATAGATATTATTGTCCTCATCTTAATTCAACTATGGAGATAACCCTTGCTACATTTTTATTAAAAAGTAATTTTTAAACTTCATCTAACAAGATCTTTTAGTCTAAATTTGTGGTTTACTAGAATCTTTTTTTTTTTGGCAAATAAAGAAAGATAATAATGTCATGAATAAAGTAAGAAAGGAATAAATGAATCTAAGATTAAGCAATGAACCAAAAAAGATGCCATTTTTGAAGTTCAAAGTCTTGATTGTTTTGTCCATAATAATATAGCATCACCAATTTTATAATTTTGATTTGCACTCTTTCTAATCCTCCTCCTTTGATTCATTACTTTTTATTTTCTAACTTGCTAGTTCTATAAAAGATTAATAATTCCTTTTCTCATGAAAGTGAAGATTCTCCTATTCATTTCCTTCACCTAGAGATCATTCTAACAACTTTCTTGCATGCTTGTAGGAGAAAAAGGGTTTGAAACTAAAATCTTTTTGACAATTTACTATTGCTTCAAGGGATTGCTTTCCTTACTATTGGTTTACTCTCTTCCTTTTCCCAATAGGTCCACCAAGTTGGTAAAAATTATACTTAATCTTGGAAAGAGAAAATAATTTTTTTTTGTCCTAGAAAATGCACCATTATTAAAGATGATGGTTGTTTCAAAAAATCGCTCACGACCCCTATTTCTCGAAGATAGCCTAGTCTGATCTAGAACAACATATTCGTGAGCAAAAAGCGTATTTCAAAGCTGATTCAACTAGTCATTTTTAAAAATCGTTCGAGACTCCTATTTTCTCGAAGATAGCATGATCTGGGCTAGAAAAACAGATTCGTGAGCAAGAGCATATTTCATGGCTGATTCAACAACAATTATTTTGTTGGGAACTTTCATATGAGCTTGTTCTTTCTTTTAATCCACTGTAAAAGTTTATGAGTACTTTATATATTGATCTTAGTTGTTTTTTCCCCCTCAAGTCCCAAAAAACTTCAAATTGAAATAGTAGAGAAAAGTTTGGCTAAATTCATGTAGGTCATAGCAAAGTTTTGCTGAAATTATGTGATTTGTCAACAATATTTATTAACTCTTTATGGCCATGTAAAAGAATATTATTAAAAGGTGTATGTACAATTCCCCAATACAAAGGAGGATGAATAAGTAAGTTGCTTGTGGTATCAATTTACAATTATTGCATACAAAATATAGCAAAAATTAGTATTAATTAGGGACATATGAATGGACAAGAAATTACATGGATAACAAAATTGTGTACAAGCAAAGAATCAGTCAGTGTCAAAAGCCAAAGCTATTCTTCTCAAGTCTCTTTCCAGGAAAAAGAAAACAAATAAAAAGATAACACTTGGCATTTTGACCCCCCTTATTTTAATTAATTAACATATTTTCAATATGGACTCTAGGATATCAATCTCATTATTTTATAAACCAAACCTCCACCTCTTTTCTTTTGCCCTTATAAAATAAATATACCCTTGAATCACTATAATTCTTTTAAAAAAGGGGTCTTTCAATTCTTATTTTTTTTAAAAGAAACTAAAATTATATTCTTATATTCTAACATCCATATATTCCCTTCTACCTCACTTCTCACCCATCCCAATAGCCATTCATTCTTTTTCTTTCTTACTATTCTTATCACTCCACATTTAAGTTTCTATAAAATCATTATCACATTATTTCTCAAACTTCTCTAGAAAAGTCCCTGAATTTCCTTTTTTTTTTCTTTCTTTAGACTCAAGAACAAATATAAAAAGCCTAAAGTTTTAGCATAAAAACCAGTTTAGTGTTTCTTGATTAGTTACAAGGATTTTCTGTCATAGAAACATAACATTGTTGTTGTTGTGCTTCTGACATTGTGGGTCAGAATCTTTCTGGTTCTTTCTTTCCTTCATTCATGGGGTTGTTCTTAGCTTAGCAGACAAGCACTTTAATTTATTTTTATTTTTAAAAAAAAAAAACATTTTTCATCAACTTTTGACATTTCTTGAGGAAAGTTGTCATAATAAATTCCATTCATTATCACAACAAAAATTTCTCAGTATGAGCAAAGACTTGTTAAGAATGAAGACTAAGCCAAATAAGCCAAATGGGAATGGACTTTCATCTTCAGGATGGGAGATGAGGCCAGGAGGAATGTTAGTACAACAAAGAAGTTCTGATTCATATCAAAGTTCAGTTACAGTTCCAACCATTAAAATCAAAGTCAAATATGGTTCATCTTATCATGAAGTCAAAATCAGTTCACAAGCAACTTTTGGTAATTTGCATTCCTTCTTACTTTTTTTCTTCGGTATCTCTCAGAAACAAACTCTTTCCTTCTCAAGGTAGCGGTATAGTCTGCGTACATATTACCTTCCCCAGACTTCACTTGTGGAATTATACTGGGCTTGTTGTTGTTGTTGTCGTCGTCTTACTTTGTTAAAAAAAGTAGCCCGGTGCACTAAGCTCACGTTATGCGCAGGGTCCAGGAAAGGGCTGGATCACAAGGGTTTATTGCACGCAGCCTCACCCTGCATTTCGGCTGTTTCCATGACTCGAACTCGTGACCTCCTGGTCACATGACATCAACTTTACCAGTTATTTTGTTGTTATGCATTTTTCCATTCATCTCTCAAAAGGGTTGTCATAAAATGAGGAATCTTGAAATGGAACTGCATGTTCATACTTTTATTTTGCAAATTTTCTTTTCATCTCTCAAAAGGGTTGTCATAAAATGAGGAATCTTGAATTTTACAGGGGAATTGAAGAAAATGCTAGCAGGTCAAACTGGATTACATACTGAAGATCAGAAAATATTTTACAAGGAAAAAGAAAGAGATTCAAGAAATTTTCTTGATGTTGCTGGTTTAAAAGATGGATCAAAACTTGTACTAATTGAGGATGAGATAAGCAGAGAAAAGAGGTTTATTGAATCAAGAAGAAATGCAAAAATGGAGAATGCATCAAAGGAAATCACATCAATTAGACTTGATATTGATAAACTTGCTAAACAGGTAACAAGAATTCTATTTTCTAAATTACATATTTTTTTCTCTTGATTTTTCATTTCAAGGGATTTGATCATTGGTTTTTTTATGTTTATGTAGGTTGCTAATGTTGAAATGGACATTTATGGTGGCAAGAAAGTAACAGAGACTTTGCTATTGAGTTTGATTGAATTGTTAATGACACAATTGATAAAATTGGATGGAATTACTGCTGATGGTGATCTCAAATTGCAGAGAAGAATGCAGGTATACATATTTTCAATGAGTAGCGAAGCCAAGAAATTCAATTAGGGTCAAAGTCTATTTTTTTTAATCAATAACAAGTAGTAATATTTTATACGATGTACATTATAATTTTTCGGCGAGTGGTGTTCGGTTGACCACTTTTGACCAGAGCCGGATTTAGGGGGCGGAAGGGTGTTCACTCCAACCCCCTTCGCCGAAAAATAATACGTACATATAAAATAAAATTAGTTTTTACCTCTATATATTATGTTTTGAATAACTTTGACACAACCCAAAAGCATAGGTTAGTGGGCAAGGGATTCAAAACTTTGTAAGGTCATTGATTCTATTTCCGCCATTTTAATTTATTTTTTAAACCTCTTAGCGGTAATCCTACCTCCCCGGGTGCCCTTTACCAGACGTAGCTTCGCCCCAATATTCAAACTCAATCATAATGCATCTTTCTTTTGCTTTAGAAGTGATTAACATCATCTTTGTTGCAATAAAAAAACTTGTCTTATTTTTTGGGTCACTGGTTCAACTTTTTGTAAACACTAACCTGTAGTTGCTTTTTAGGTGATATGATAGTATTTATAATTTTTTTTACACTTGTTAAATTCTTTTGCTAAAATACTGATTTTTTTTTGTTGATAATTGTAGGTGAAAAGGGTGCAAAAATACATAGAGACACTAGACATGTTGAAAATAAGAAATTCAGCCCTTGGAAATCACAATGCCAAAGTGCAAATGCACCACAAAAATGGAATATTCACAGGAAAAATGCCAAAATCCATGTACTATAATCAAGAGCAGAGGAAGAGGGTTAGTTTTGCTGATCAAAGAAATCCAGGGCCAGTTGTGGTTACAACAAAATGGGAAACTTTCTAAGAATTGATAATAAAAAAGCCTAAGGAATATTAGTGTGTGCTTTGAAAAAAATTAGGGGGTAAAAAAAAATAAATTTTGGTTTTATGGATTCAGTGTCTTCATTCTTTCTCTATTTAGATTTTGACCCCAGTTGTTCTTGGGGTTAAAAGATAATGTGGTGATTTCTTATGTGGCCTTTGAATCCTAAGTTGTATAAATGTGTGTGTATATATATATGCCAGCATCTGGTGGATATAGATAAGTTTATGGTTTTACTTGAATTTTTTATTTCATAAAATGATTACAAATTTAGCACTTATAAAATTAGTTATTATTACTCTTTTAGAAGTACGATGATCAAACTAATTAATTTTCGTTGTTAATTTGGACCTAAAATTTTCAAAGGCTACATAGTAGTTAAACCGAAAAAAATCTGTCTAACTCAGGGGAGGAGCCAGTGTACTGTGTGCGTGTTCGGCAAAACCTAGTAGTTTTGGCTCAAACTATATATTTTGTTAAAAAAAATTCACTTAACTAATCAAGAATTCATAAACTTAAAATTCTATCTCCGCCTCTGATCTAACTAGTGCAATTGTTGTTTTCTTTTACCTCCTCTTCACACAACTATTTTCTGTTTCTTTCAATTCTTTCCTTTTCATTTTGCCATCCAAATTCAATGTGATTTGGGACCATTTCGCCAACAAGAAATTTGCTTTTTGGTGTATGTGGAAAACTTTTTTGATTAGCTGCCATTTAATGAAGATATGATTATAAGTTAGTTGGATCATAAAGATCTAATGTTTGTTGTGAGGTTGCAAAAGGTAATTAATTAAAATTAATGTTAAGCCGAAAGAATAACCTTTTGGTAATATTTAATTATTATCGCTAACTAATCACTCCAAAATGATAAAAAGTATAGGGTTGACTTTGGAGGACATGGTAATGATCATTAATGGGATTGTTTAATAGGTTGGATTCCACTTTGTTATTTATTTATTTAATTTTTCAACTATATTTTTGTTTCATTAGCCTCATAGCTTGAATAGGCAAACAATAATACTACTAGCAAATAAACTAAAAATATAAAATAAAAGAGAACTTTCTAAGCCAGCCAGCCAGCAGGCCCTTGTCAATGTGATATTTTATTTTATTTTGAAAAATGATATTGTATAATCACTCTAAAAATAATAGGCGAAAAAATATATTTGTTGTATATTTTTTTGTATATATATATATATTGTTATAGATAAAAATTATACAAATTTTATACACTTTTTCGACTACTGAATGTAAATAGTTTCCGCCACGAGCTAAAAGTGATACCCCTTTTTTCCTTCCTTTTGATGATATCATAAGCAGTATTTGTCACAGCATCTAGGTGAATTTCAAATCCTTCATCATTGAAAAGTATTTCCAAATGAAAGTTTCCTTTAAACCAACCCAAAGTCAGCAAAAAGTACTAGGTGATTTCTTTTTATCTGTAAAGTTATCTAATACTTATACTGATGGAAAATAGCAGGTACTAAATAAAATTATTTAGGTACGCACAAATTGACTCGAACACTGCAGTAAAAAAAATAATTAAGCCTAGACGTATCATTTCAGCACTTATAGAAGAGCAAGCTAAGGGGATATGTAAGATATAAGGTTATAGGACAATCAATCATAAGCTAACATATGAGTTTTTTCAAAAGGAATAATATCAAAATTCTAAAATTCCGAAAAATGTCATCTAATTGAGGTAATAATAAATGAAAATCAAGGACAAACCAATGTGCTAATAATTAGGAAGAATGCCAACGTGAAAGCAGACAAGATTAATCATATGTTCATATAATAAACAGAAAGAATCTTTTACATTCATAAAATTGAAATGCTTTGCCCCAACGAATGAGGTACCTTGGATTATGAACTAAAATGTTGTATATTGGTTTTATTTGATTTTATTCTTCTTTTAGCAATTAAAATTTATAAAAATATAACTATAAGTTACGGATTTGAACCGTTGGAAGCAACTAATATTGCTTGCATTAGGTTGCGTTCTTTCCCTGAATTCTGCGTGAACGCGGAACACCTTGTACATCAAGTTGTCTTTTGTTNCACAAGTCATTCCTTTTTATTTTCGGGATTGAGCCTGTCAGGGCTTGCCTAGTGCGGTTTACATTTTATGTGTGGTTTGCAGGCTATTACACAGTGGGAGGTTTACCCAGTGCGCACAAAGTACTCACCACAAGGGTAGAGGGCGTGACAGAGATTGTAACGGTTGCTAATTTCCCCTCCTACCAAAAAAAAATAAAAATAAAATACAAGTCGACATTCTTGACAAGTACATGATGTGAAAGTTAGACATTGAACAAAATTCAAAAATGTCAAAGAATATTGCTTTCTTAAATTTTTCGCCGGCCATATTTATACACACACATAATAAAAAAAAAAGGAATAACATAATATAGATAAATAGAAGATTTTTTGGCAGCATGGAAGCTAGCTATGTTCATGGGCATAACAGTGTAAAAGCTGAACCAATAACTTTTGCTCATACCATATATTTTTATCTAAAAAATTATAAAATATTTACAACTAATAAATTTTAAACCTATTAAATTATATGGGATGCGATAGAATTGCGAATTTGAATCCTTAAAATTTAAATCCGCCTCTGAATATATCAATTCCTTGTCAATAGAAAACCAACAAAATTGAGGCCATAAAAGTTGAGCGGCAGGATCTTAGCATTTTTCACAAACACCTCAAAGCTGTAGGTATAATTATATTCTCTTCAAAAATAAAAAGAAGGCAAAAGAGAGAATATATGCTGCTTAGAAGAAGAGACATCTCACGCTATATGGGACCTAAGGCACAGAGAATAAAGAGAACATTCTTTTATTTGTGTATCGTACATTATTATTGTGACAACAGTGTAGATACATGGAATTAAGTGGCATATATAGGCAAGGTGAAGATACATTTTATCAAGTGATTAAAACTCAAGGTTAGTTTAAATTGGGATTGTTACATAAATAGTCCGCCAGATTAAATATTTACTTTTTTATCGGTATACATTGAGTATATATTAATTATACACAGTTATACATAAATTGAGCATGAATTTATATATATATATATATATATATATATATATATATATAGAGAGAGAGAGAGAGAGAACCGGCTATTTTTAGTTTAAGAAATTAGATGGACAATTATTTGAGTTAATATTTCTTTATAATTTGAGGAGGATTGAAAGTAAATTTATTCTTTTCAATATGAGTTAATATTCTTTTCATGAAAAAGGGTTCAATTCAATCCACTTTCTTGTAAAGTATAAGTGTTTATATATGTGATATATCATATATATATATTTACAAAGAAAAATGTAGGTGTTCAAATACCATCTTCATGTCTTTTAAAAATCAACAATTTTTGAAGAAAAAAAAAAGCTGAGAAAATAATGTGGTCGACTTGGAAATAGTTCAATTGCCAACCAATATATCCTAGAACGTGCAAAATCAGTATCGCACATTCAGCCATCCAACTCTAAATTATAAGGCATGGTGTTTGTGTCTGATGATAATGATTGACAACTTGTATCAATGAGTGCTTTTCGTTAGCAAAATTTGTTCTCACAATTACTTTGGAACAAGTACAATGGCACATTGCGTTATTGGTTGCTGAATGTTTGGCAATGTCAATAGCTTCGGTTAAAGCAAATCCCAAAATAGCATAACCTAATAATTGTTTTGCCAATGAATGATTTCTCGCAACAGAATTAAGGAACTGAAAACATTTCCAATATCGGCAGCAGCTCCCGCTGAAGCAATTGTAGCAGCTCCTGCCGATTAATTTTGAACCTTATAATCTTACATAATAATAAAGAAAGTTTAAAGAAAGTTAGCTCTTTATTTGTTTATCTCGCCCTTCTTTCTTTTCTTCGATCCAACCCCCAAAGAGCGGTTTAAGTCCGTTTGTGAATTAGCATAACAGTGGCGGAGCCAAAACTTACATAAAAAATTTCAAAAAAAAAATACTAAAATATAGAACATAAGATTTGAACATGCAAGTAAGCTAGCCTTATTTGCTCAGTATAACTTTTTGAATGAGGAGATTCAATTGAACCCATCACAACAATCTAGCTTTGCGACTCCGTGATCACGCCCAACTATGCCTTATTAAAAGGATTAAGCGGTCACTGCAAATATAATCTGAGTATTTAGCCCAGAGTCGAATCCACAGGGAATTAACCTACCAATTACTCTTGTTAGACTCACTAAATTCTTCGTAATCAACTTTCCAGATATTTTAAATAACAATTGGAGATGTTTTTACTAACTATAACTAAATGAAAGCAAGTAACTAAAAGCTAACTATGACTGGGTTGTATGCAAGTAAGAGAAGGATTTAAGGTTATGATTTCCCCTATTGATGGAATCCCTTCCTGTTATGTTTCGCATAGAATTGCCAAATCGTCTCTATCGATCATGAGCACGCTTATTACCGTAAATCTCTCCCGAGTAATCATGAGAATTTACTAGACGCACTCTCCCGAGTTACGCTAGCTGGCTTTTACTACAGCTCATTTTAGATCGCACTCAAGGCTTCGTTATCCCTAATCCCGCCTTTAAACCCTCGGTTATTGATCCGTCATATACTTTGGGAGTGATATTGTTCAACAATTACCTAAATATGCACTCTCTCCCGAGTAGTACATACTAAATAGGCACAGCTAATTGAGGATCCTATCAATTAACTACAACAAGAACGTAGTTGAATAAATAAAGATTAAACCGGGCAAACTATATTAACATAACACGAAGTTCATCCTTCAATACTCAATAGGTTCCATCAAAATCCTAGACTAAATATTTAACTACTCATAATCATATTCATCATAACAATAGCAAAATTCATCATAAATGGTAAAATACAAAAGGAAAAAAGGAAAAACTCGATGTTGAATTATCCTCCTTGCCTCTTGCCTCTCCTTGCCTTCAATTAAGCCATAAAAACCTTGATAATGTCCCTTTGGGCGAGCTAGACTTCTTATAGGTTAAGTGGAATTACCCCCGAACTTTCAAGTTTACCCCTGAATTATATTTTTCCGAACTGGACTAGCGCGGTAGCGCTAGTGGGCACGCTAATGACCGCGCATATGGCATAGTATTCTACCTCGAATTCCTGGGCTAGCGCGGTCACGCTAGTGGGTATGCTAGTGGATCATCATTTCAGCTCTTCTTTTCTCTCTTCTTTCAACGTACTCAGCTCCGAGGGGCTTCCTTGCTTC